CAGAAAACCGGAAGTGGCGCTGTGGCTCAAGTGGTAGAGCGGTTGCCTTGAGTTGAAGAGCTGAGGGACAGCGCCCAGAGTTCAAGCCCCACAACCGACACACACACACAGAACATTACAGCTTTATTACTCAGCCTTGTGACCCAGGGCTGGTCCTTCCAATGTCGTGTAATGCGAAGATGTGGCCAAAGTCTTCCTGGAACAAAACTCTGGTCTGACTGAACACAGGAAGCTTCCATTCCCTTTCCTGGCCTTGTTTCCCCCTTTCCTCTCTTTCCATCTGTAAACTGGAGCTCTCTACAGACCCACGCAGAACACCCACGCAGGGTCACAGACTTCGCTTTCCCAGGGGAAAGATGATATCATCCAGTCTGTTCCCCATTTTGTGACCCACCGCATTCTGTACCCCCCAAAAGCCCTCACCTCAGAGGAGATCCAAGGCCCTCAAACCCAGCAGCTTCACCAGCCCCTCCATCCCCGGCACCCCCACCCCAGCAGATGCTAAGCCCGGCTCCGGCTCCACCTGCCCTCTTCCGTCCAGAACAGGTGTCAGCTTCCACGATGGTTCTACAAATTCATTTCCGTCCTTTACCGCCTTTCATCCGAGGATGCTGCTTCTCCCTCTCCCAACCCTCTCTCTGGAATGCCTGTCCAGTTCCTGGAAAGCATCTGCCCTGAGAAGAGAAAGAGGTCCAATCAAAGCTTTCCTGTGGAAGTGGCTGAGGAAAATGATGGAAATTTATATATATATATATATATATATATATTATATATATATATATATATAATTTTAAATTTCCAGTGAAATGCGAGGAATCTGCTTTTCCAGTAGATGTCCCTCTTCTTAATGAGAGCCCAGTATGTGTCGGGGGGGTGGGGGGTGGATGGGTGGAATTGATTGTACTCCCCAAAAGTGGGAAGGGCCGCCTCTGGCGTGGTGGTCTAGTGAGACCTGTGGCCTTCCTCATGGACAGGCAGGTGGCGATGTGTGGAACTCAGCGACAGCTTGCCAGCCAGAAGAGAATCAGTCACAGGACAATAATAATACGCACACCAACCAAGATGATAACAGACGAGGAAGGTAGAACCCAGGAATGATACGCAAGAAGTGCAGCGGATGAGGCAGGGAGACGCAGGCTGAGAGGTCCAGGGGATGGACATTACTCAGTGGAGCCGGCTGAAGTGCAACAGTCACGGCTTGCTTATCATTCTCGTCATTGGCACAGCCACCGTGGAGGGGGTAACACAGAAGAAGCAACGGCAGAGGTGGCAGCAGTAGTAGCGGGGCCTCGGGACCCAGGAAAGCCAGCATGAGACCTGAGGCCCAGAAAGCAACAGCCAGAACAAGCCAGAGCCCCCAGATCATCTCCACACTCCGTTAATTGAAACAGCGTAGAGGAGAAACGGCCCTCCCTCCCTCCCTTCCCCCCCCCCAATCACAATACAACAGCCAGGTTTCCCCCTAAATAGAATTTTCTATTTTGTGAATTTCCCTCCCCCCAAATGTTCAAATGTGTATCCTTGCATAAATAGGACAGCCTTTCCCAAGTCCTAAGAATACATTTACACCACAGTTTTGCGACTCCAGACCACCTGTCACTTTCCTGTTGCCCCCAAAAGGATTGTGTTTATGATGTGTCTTCTCCCCCCCCCCATCGTTTATTTTAGAAAGTGATTCCAAATGTGCTCACGTGTGAAAATGTTTGTCTATATTTGATTACGGATTTATAACAGTTTCAGGGGTAGGGATTGAGGCTTGCATTTCACGATGTGGTGTTTGCTGTTGTTTTATGTTTATTTTATTTATTTATTCATTTTTGTCGTTTGTGGGGCTTGAACTCTGGGCCTGGGCGCTGTCCCTCAGCTCTTCAGCTCAAGGCGAGCACTCTACTACTTGAGCCGCAGCACTTCTTCCGGCTTTTTCTGCCTATGTGGTGCTGAGGAATCAAACCCAGGACCTCATGCATACAAGGCAAGCACTCTACCACTGAGCCATCATTCCAGCCCTTCCTTTTATTTTTTTTTTCTTTTAAACAAAAGTTAGCGTGTCCCCTCGTTGAGAGGATTGGACTCTTCCGTGCTTAGTAAGTACTACTTAATTCATTCTGCGGTTCTCTTTAGGATAGCCTATTTTTTATTTATTTATTTTTGTCCTAAATCCTAGTGCAGCAGTTTTATTTGTAGCACCAATGGTTTAGACACAACTCCTCTTGCCGTTTCTTGCCACACGTAACACGTCCTAAGCTTTCCTACCTTTTCCTGACAGCTCAGCCACCCAGAAGCTGGGAGCGGAAGTGTTTGAAGAGGTCTACGATTACCTGAAGACAGCAAGGCATCTAAATGCCAACGACACCGAGGTCCAGGAGTGTCTGGAAAGATGGGTGCCCCGCGCCAGTGATTGTTTTGAAGTGGATCAGCTCCTCTACTTGGAGGAGCAGTTACAGACTGTGGTGACCAGAGAACCATCTCGAAGAGACGGTCAGGACTCGAAGGCCACCAAGGAGACAAGTCTTCTCTGTGAACAACCGTGAAACACCAACTGGCGTTGTGACAGGAAATGGGGGCACTCCTGGAGCTACCATCTTGGTGCTCGCCAGAAGTGGACGTCTTGGGCTTGGAGGCCTGGTACAGGTGGTAGAGCACCGGCCAATGAGCAAAAGTGTCAGATACCAAGTTCAAGCCCCAGTCTCAGACAAAAAATCAAACAAAAAAAGAAGTGATTTTTTTGTTGTTGGTAGTGGTAGTCCTGGGGCTTGAACTCTGGGCCTGGGCGCTGTCCCTCAGCTCTTCAGTTCAAGGCGAGCGCTCTACCACCTGAGCCACAGCGCCACTTCCCAATCATGGGACAGACTCATCCTGTCAGTCTGCTTTTATTCCTTTCCACAACTGACAAGCAGGATGTACGTAAACCTCAAGACCTGGATTGTCCATCCCAAAAGCGATTCTTTTCTGTGATTTATTCCCTAAACTCATCCATGGACTTTTTTTTTGGCCAATGGTGGGGCTTGAACTCATGGACTAAGCGCTGTCCCTGTGTATTTGTGCCCAAGGCTAGTACTTTACCACTTGGAACCACAGCTCCACTTCCAGTTTGCTAGTAGTTAATTGGGTAAGAGTCTCACAGACTTTTCTACCTGGGCTGGGTTTGAACTGTGATCTTCAGATCTCAGCCTCCTGAGTAGCTAGGATGACAGGTGTGAGCTAGCAGTGCTTGGCTTGAAGACTTGTATTTATGACAAATAGATGCATCGTGATATATGTTGGGACACAATAAATCACCTATTTTATTTTCTCCTGTACAGAAGTATTTTATTAAATGTAGTGTTGCTTTTTTTGGGGGGAGGGGGGGTCCGGTCGTGGTGCCTGAACTCTGGGCCTGGGCGCTGTCCCTCAGCTCTTCAGCTCAAGGCGAGCGCTTGACCACTTGAGCCACAGCGCCACTTCTGGCTTTTTTCTTTTT